TACACGGGAATGCACAAGTAAAACTACACAGGCAACAATAAGATACACTTGTTTCTTCTTTAAAATAAGGAGGAAAGCAGATTTTTTTTTACAAATTTGTACACATACAATCCTCAAAATCAGTTATCATCAAGTAATAACTCTCCAGCCTGCATTCACAGTCATGAAACTAACTGCATTAGCCACTGTTGCTTGCACATTTCTACAACCACTTTTTCCCCCAAAGTGGCACACTTTACAAACTGATATATAATCACAATGTGAGCCTGACCAGTAGATAATTGCTGATATGACATTTCTATGTATTGTTTTATTCTGCTAACTCTTGTTTAAAGGTGATTTAAACATCTATTCCAACCCACACCTGCTGCTATGCTTGGCAATCTCCATATCTATTTTCAGTCCTTTATTAAAGTTATTAATCTCAGCATGCACATTTTCAGTCCCATTGTTGTTTTCTAGTCATTAAGAGGTATCCTTTGACAATCAAGTTCTCTCAAGATCTCAATAGGCCTGCAACTGTCATGGCTACAACAGCAGCAACTGTTTCAGCTCCAGTCAGATTTTTGAATCCTGCTAAATAGTCAAACTGCGTGAGCTGCCACCCTGAGCTCTTTTCTCCAGGGTGGTCAGGATGAAATCAAACTGATTGCTAACATGCAATTCTTGCATGCATCAAGTCCAATAGACAGAGAAGCCTGACTTTCTGAAGTCCTCACAGGCCAGAAGGTGGTCCATTGTCCCTAATGCCCCAGGCTGTATACCAAGGTTAGCCATGGAAGAGAACCTGGCTCCATTTATTTTCCTTTTTGGCATTAAAGCCCTTCCCAGGCAAGCTTACTGGATCACAAACGACCACTGCTGCAGCAGCATGGATGAGGGAATTTAAAATTTTACTGCTGCTTTCCTGTGTTACACAAGCATGAGAATGGACATGTGGGTTTACACTAGAATGCAACACAGAGGAGCATTAGCAGCAACTCAGGGAGCAACCTTCTGTTTGTGTTTTCTTCTTTCCTCTTCAATTTATAAGAATTTATTGTAAGCATCTCAGATGTTAGTAGTTCTCAACAGAAAAAGTTTTAGGAATGCACAGAGCAAGAATTAAAATAAGCTGTAGTTAGAAAAACGAGTATAAACTATTAGCCTGCAATATTTCTTTACCCTCTCATTTCAAGACTTCACCTAAAATGATGTTACCAGAGGTCTCTATTAGCTTTCCAGAATAAAACCAAGGAAAAAAGGAAAAGCTTTAGGACTTTCCCACTGTCTGCACTGTAACATTTCTCAATAAGATTTCTCATTGGCATACAGTAAAATACACCCAAATTACACCATCAATACTCAATCGACATAAGCATCACCTCTATTAGACATGGCCAACTTTTGAGCTATTCATGCTTCTCTTTCAAAAATGGAAATCCTTTAAATCCTTTGTCTATTTCTTCCTACACTTGGTTCAGAGAACAGCTGAAAACATTATTAAAAAAATCCTTTCAACAGTGATGAGATTTCAGACTATCTCATCAACTTCGCTCTAGGTTCTGCTGAGAAGTCAGCCCTAACTTCAGAAACTTGGACTCTAATTAGCAGGACAACTGGTATGTCTTAGGCACATAGAAATTCAAGGGAAAAATTACACGTGTATCATCTTAAATCTATCTTCTAGTAGAGAAATTAGAACAGCTCTCCAATATCTATCAACTTATACACACAGCTATGTTTAAGACTCTTGTAATAGGTATTCTGCTGTAAAACTACCATAAGGAACTTAAGATAATAACTGTTTGACATACTTTGTGAAAATGACAAGATGAGCATAAATTAGAAAGTAAGTACCCTCAAATTTTCCTATGTTCTTTTGAAGGAAACAAGGCTGATGTGATCATGCAGTCCCTCAACAGCCCTCAATAACTTGCTCCTGAAGACTAGTCCCAAGCAGATATGACAGCAGGCTGTGGGTTCTTAAAGCTCTTCCAAGCTGTCAACCTAGCTGAAGGTTTTAAATTTAAAAGAAAAAAGAAAAAAAGCATTAAATTAGCATCCATACCAGAGAGAAGTTACAGCATGAGCATAATTATTATTTGTTCTCCCAGGCAAGCTGGCTGCTCAGAACAGAAGAGCTGGGCACTGAGCAGAATTTTTCATCAGGTACAGCAGTATGCTGCCTTTGTCCAACCGGTACCCAGGGAAAGGCACAGAAGGATTTATGCAACAAAATAGCAGGGAATAGAAGGAGGTTAAAAACTTGAAGGGAGAAATTTCAGTTGTTACAGCAGTGAAAGATTATAGAGGTTACAGAAACAGGGTTATTGAAGTGGGGGAGATACAAAGCACAAGATCTGTTAATCCTCACCACCCACCCAGGTTCATTAGTTTTAAGACTCAAGTAACCATTTGTTTGTTTATTGCCATGTGTCACCACATACATACAGAGAATGCAATATACACAGTATTGTGCAATAACAGGGCTGGCAACTCTATGGTCATTGATACAGTACAGGAAATCACTTTACAGTACATGCTGTATTAACCTTTTCTGAAAATTATGGCATCCTCTGAAAGGACATTTATGAGCTTAGTATTACTTCAGGGGATAAGCAGAATGTTTATGACTTGACAGCCTTCACCCATGCTCACTTCATTTAACGTAACAGCAACTTTCATTTACTAGTTCCCCTTCAGCAAAATTAGTTTAGGAAATCTAATTCATCTAGAAACAGATTTTCCTCTCCAATTACCAAAAAGAAACTGTATTTGCAACCATATTTATGTTATAGTTAGCAAAACATTCACTTCAACACTGTCCATTAAATTGGCATTTTGTTTTCTGGATTTTTTTAAAAAAGAAACATGTTTCATGTAGAAAAATGAAAAGTTCTTATCTCCCGCTTCTTATCTTTCAGAGTTGGCTCCTGTTCTTAAAAGTACTGCCTTCCTAGTAGAAAATGCTCTGGACAAAGCAGACAAAAGACAAGAAGATCATCTTTCCCTGTCTCCCAAAGGAAAGAAGACACAAGAATGCCTGTGAAACCCTAGAAACTGCAAAGATGTAGTCAGACTTACTGTAAAATGTTGAAATCTATTACTAATATATACTGCGTATCAGTTAATTGCATAAGGAACGCACATGGTCAGAATTTTAATGGCACACGGTACAGCCTAACTAATAAACCGAAGAAACATTCCATATGTTATCACTTTCTACTCTGTACAACATCTGGAAATGCAAATGTTGCACAACAGGATATTACAGAACATTAAAAAAAAAAGAGAGAGTATTCCATATTCAGTTTTATTTTTTCTAATAAGGCTTTGAGAAACTCTGAAGTGCAGTCATACACATATGCAATACATTGCTGCACAGGAAGCCTTTTTGGAGGAGAAGCAGCCTCTGAAAACAAAGAGTTCTTCACAAAGGTCAACATGAAAAATATATCAACAAGTTGTAAGGTTATTTTGCTTTGTTTTAAATTAAAGAGCTTTTGCAAATGCAAGGTATTGTAGTAAACAACGTAAAGTTCTGGAGAAGACCAGACTGGTTTTGATACTGCTGAAGCGTCTTTGCAGTGTTTCTTAAGGTTTACCTTCTGAAAGAAAAAAAATAACCCACATCATCTTCTCTCCTCCACTACCAATTAATCTATATACAGAACAATATTCATTAACAGGAAGTGTCATGATAATTATTAATTTTATATTCCTAATTGAAGAACCTAATGAGAGTCTCTACCAAGCAGAGAAAACAATACAATCTAATGGAATAATACTTGTATTTAAAATCTTCATGTAAACTTAAGAGGTGTATCTAAGATGTTTTAAAGAAATCCCACTCATATAAGTACAACTGAGGTCAAATCAGTGTAAGGCTTCCTTCACTGGGTAAATAAACTAAACCATTCGGTTATACTTTAAAATAAAGACTAGTCCTGTCAAATACACATTTAAGCCCTCTCCTTGGAACTCCTTAAGACATTTCTTAAAAATAAGATAAACTTCACAAGAAGAAAACCACCTAAATCACTCAGAAACGCAGGAACTCTGAATATGCAAGCATCACAAAATAGGCAACAGGATCTTTCAGAGAAGCTGTTCTGCCTTGTCATTAGGTAAAACAGAGCAAGGTCAGTAATCTCATTATTAACATAACATAACATAACATAACATAACATAACAATATATTTCCCAACACAGGCTTTAGAATGGATTATCATAAATGAGGCTACTAAGTCTCAATTATAAGGTATGACAGTGTCTACAGGTTGCATAGATCTTAAGAAGGAACTAGAGTACAGACAGAAGGCAATGTCTTCTGATCACAGTACATATCCAAACATCTTAGAAAGAAAATTGAGACAAATCTAATTAAAGAAGGGGTGAGGACTGAGAGTACAAATAACAGATGACAGTAATTCAAAGATTTCTTTCTAAAGGAAGAGAAGTAAAAATGTAGCTCATTAGAAGCCAATGGCAAAACCTTCATTGACTTCAACAAGAACATAACTTCCCTGCTCACGTTTAACATTCATTATATCTAATTCAAAGGAAAATTACTGATAGTTGGACTCATTACAGAAAACAAAAGAGCCAAATCAAAATCTCTAATCTAGCAGTTAACAAACCAAGAACAATTTCAAGTGATCTTCACAAGATGTTTGCCCTTAACAGCTCCTTTAGCTTTCCACACAAATGATCTTGTTTTATTTGACTTCCTTTTAGTAAGACAACCAAGGTATTGAGATAATTTTCTTCTCCTTACCTCAACAACTGAGAGTTTTAATAAGGAAATACTATTACTGGTATTTACATAACAGTAAACCAATGCTGACAAGAACACTGCTGTGTTTTGTGACAAATCTACAACAGTTCTCAAAAACACACTGTTTTGCTTTATTTTCTATCTGACTGTCCTTATCCTGAAGGAGAGACCACCAACCATTTTGAAATGGTGCAGGAAAAGTTACGACTGCAACAAAATACCACCATCACATGCTACTCACCCTAACAGGAGGGCTCCGTGCTTGCACCCTTTGCTGCTGTCCAACATGAGAGCTCTGCAGGTCCTTTGATCCACAATTAGTTATAGTGTTGACAGGGACCCTTAAAGCATTTGTGCTACCTGTCCCACCACCAGCGCTGGGTTTTCGAGGCCTCTGTTTGATGCCATCCAGTAGTCTAACAAGCAAAATATTACTGGGAAGTTCGTCAACACTGCAGTCCACTAAAGTCCTGCACTCTGGGCATCGAAGCTCATTTCGAGAGCTCACAATGCCCAGCAGACAGCGTTTACAAAACGTGTGTTGGCAAGGCAAGACTTTTGCAGATGCATCAAGGCGTTCTAAGCAAACAGGACATTCCAACAGATCCAGCAAAGCTGATTCATCCATTTTCTTTGTATTACTTAACCAAAAAACAAATCTTTGCAGAACTTGTGTGTTTTGAGCACTCCAAGAATATCATGTTACATCCATTCCTCTTCTGACTGTTCTCTGAAAATTTTTGAGGGGAAAAAGGCATTAATAAGCTGGAAAAGGAATCAGAAAGATTATTCCATATGAAGATGTTCGAAAAGCAAAATGAAGGATCTCTAGACTATTTCAGTAGATATTTCCAATACATGAAGGCAACATCAAAATAGCAATAAATACTAATTAAATACTAATAATTAACTACATTAATATATCTATTTAGTTAAAATATTATAACAGATGCTGGCAACTAAAGTTTTTAAATTCAAGTCCACGTAAATTTTAATCAATTTAATCAAGCAACTTTATTTTCTCAAATTATTCCAGAATAAAGAGCTATCTCCAGTACAGCATTATAATAAAGATTACTTTCCATAGTTCTTGTTAAATACACCTGTATTTCTGAACATTTATTTTAACTAGCCTTTTCCACGAAAAGATGGAAACTACAACTGGATCCAAAACAACAGAGCGGACCCCAATAAAGCATAGCAGGGGGAACTACATTTATACCAAGAGTAAGTCAATAACAGACTACATTTCTGCCTCTTCTGTGAAAAGTAACAGCAGCGCATTACACACATTAGTCTTGAAAACAGCCTCTAGCTTACATGCTTTTTAAGCTTACCACAAGCACTGACAAGACGGTTCATTACAGTGCCGCCTGTAAGAAGCGCTTCAAAAACTATCGCGAAGTGATTTACA